ACGACGCTACAAACGACATTGATTATCATCCCCCGGTACGATACAAGGTGGATTGGAAAAATAACGTTTCTCACATTTAAGCGGGGATCATGCTCGATAAAACTCAGCAACTTCTTCGCATGGGGGTGGAAACACGTTGCCGTGACCGGAGGGAAGGAAAGGCGGAAAGGCGAGTAGTAGCAAGTCGACGAAAAAACAGATACGACGAAGCTCGTTTTCTTTATCTGCTCGGGACTTGGAGACGATTTCTCGCGGCACCTTATCTCTCTCTCTCTCTCTCTTTCTTTTGCCGTCTCTTGTATATGTACATATATATATATATATTTATACCCTATAGTCCCTAATATCTCTCTACGGTGCACGTGCACATACTGCAGTTGGATAAAGTTACGTGTCTCGGAGTCTCGACTCCTATTGTTAGATCTTTGAATTACCAGAATCTTACTCGGAGCCTTACACAGTGGATTTGTGGAGTCTGGATGTCTAAGTCCTCGGAGATTAACTTCAGGAAATGTTGTCTCAATGAATGGCCACAGAAGTAGGAATAAAGGAAGGATAGTTTCTTTTGAGAGAATTAATTCAGAAGATACTTTCAGTAAAAGCAAAAGATAGCTTTCAATTTTGTTTTGTAAAGCATCTCTGCGAGAAATTTTATCAACAATTCATAGTGAATACAGTAATAATTAGACAATTAATAATAAATAAGACAATTGCGTGTAAATATCTTCATATTTGAACTGCATTGATTTTCCAATTTTTGTATAATTTAAATAAATAATTATAAAATTCTTTTAAAAATAATAATGGATTCATTGAAAGTCAATGGATAATAAAAAAATGATACGAATAAAACATATGGACAATCGAGACACTGAGACAATTTCAATATCGACAATGCGATTAATTTTTGATTTAATGTGTCGCAATTAATAACGTACTAATAACGTATCAATTAATTTATACATCAATGAGTATTAGTACATATTAATTCTCGTGTATTGAATTAAAAATTAATTAATCAAGTATAGTAATTAGATTGTCATTATAGCATACGGATCCTTTAATTAAATTTCGGGAAGGAATAGACCCGACCTATTTAATGGTTTCTCTGTTCCAGGATTCCACACCTATACGTTGAACGAAAGCGTGCACACGGAAAGGGAGGAGGACGAAATCCTGACAGTGAAATACGAGGATGGCAGGTGGTCGAAACCGTATTACGACTGCGGAGGTGGTAATATCTGGATGCTGACCTATACGGTACCCTTCTTCGGATACGTCAACGACACCTATTTCTTCAAGTAAGTGCGGATCCTCCCTTTGCGTCGTTAATCGCACATAACTTATTTAATTAATGGATCAGAGAGACGTCATGATTTTTTACACCTCATACGTCTGCATTTTTAATAATTTATTCAACCCTTTCAAATGTATAAGTAAATGTTCTAAATTTTGATTACATAAAATATCATTATCGATTCTGTTTACGAATCGAAGAGTAACAAAAGATTTCCAATGCTTAATGTTTCATATAAATCGATCTAATAATCTAATATATTCATATGAGAAGGTGAATTTACGTGATATCGTATCATTAAATGTAATGAATAATTTCAAATTTCCATCAATCGGATTGTCGGCTCTATTGTCGAAATGATACGGTGATCCATCAATCTCTACTCTTTTCATGTAGAAAAAAAAATAGGACGTAAAAGAATTTGTGAGAGCACTGCATAATTTAAGTGCCACTCACCATTATAAACGCATTATCACTCGTGAATTAAAAACTTTCGTCGTACTATCATTTTTGTTTCGAAATTTGAATCTAAGGGCCTGTGAATGGAAAAATCCTCCACGGTATGTATAAGAATTTTAGAATAGAAACTTCAAAGAATTCTGAAGATTTGGAAATCCAATTGTCAAAGTGTTTGAGAACATTGGAGATTCTAGATAACGTATTTTCACTGAATCATATTTCTCATGAAAATGTAAGGTCGGACTCTTTTATTAGCAATCTTTTTGCATCTCGAGATAAAAAAGACTAACATAATTTGCAGGATTCATTTAACATACAAATTTTTAAATTATACTCTATAATGAAGGAAGTAATTAATTATAATAACGGTAATTAACATCTCCCTTTTCTAATTCGATAATATGAGAATTTATTTTCTGATTTTCTTTTTTCTTACGAAGTAATTACGTTCAGCTTAATTATTAAAGTGTCGTAATTCTTTCGATTGTTATTGCTTTTCTCGCACCATTTGCAGCCGTCCGTTTTATAGGTTCAAGGTCAATTTGATCGTAATTCTGACGTAAATTTGATCAGCAGATTGGCGCCGCCTGCGTAATGAAACACCAGTATCGTCGTAGATATAAAAAGAGAAAAACAATATCAAGGATCGTATATATGCACACAGTGAATTCTTTTTAATGACGCTGTTAATTTAAAAATCGGATAATATCCAGTTACATTGTTCGATGCTCCACTTTACCACAAAAATTACAAAGATATCATTTTCTAAGCGTGCTTTATAATGGCGATGTCTTTTTCGTTAATGAATTTAAAAAGGAAAGAAAAAAAATTGGATAAATGAAGAAAATCTGACACGTTATTTTAAACGTAATAAGTTCTCGAGAGGAATTGCACGATATATATATATACAGGTTGTCCTTAACTAATTTATATATCGACTAACTTGGCAGTTTTTTTTTATCACGATTTTTTAAATCACGATATTTTCTTGAAAAATGCCTTTTAAAAAACATTGTTTCTTCAAAAACAATTATTCAAGTGACTTTCTTAATAGACTTTATTACGGAATCGATAATGTAAATTAAAGTATTTTCTATATAAATTTTGTATTAATTATTTTATGATTATTGGATATCAGTCAATAAGCGTACGATAATGTATAATTTAATATAAAAATATGGAAACAATTGCAACATTTAACGAGGAAGCGTCAATTAAAAATAACAATTTTTCACGATGAAAATTGTTATAGATAGAAAAAGAAAATAAGACACATGGAAATTTCTTCATTGACACTTTTTCACTATATTTATTATATAAATATTTTATTCATTCAATCGTGCAACAATATTTTTAGAAACAATATTTTTTCACCAAATCTGTTTGTTATTATATTTATTATTCCGATAAAGCTCACGAAGTATTGTACTTATAGTTGTTAAAGAAGTAAAGAAGCTTATTATATCTCCCTTTCTTTTCTCGTGGAAAAGCCTGCTTTCTGAAGAAAAGCGTCTTACATTCGTATCGTCTGTGCGTTCAATATCGCAAAATTCTTTATTTTCAAATATATAAGGCGTAATTATAATAACATTATTATGACAAATTGAATTTGTAATCAATCACATTTTAAATTTCCAAGAGCGATATTAATTTTATTAACGACAAATATGCTATATAAACTCTATATATAAGATCTTAGAATTGACAAAAATAATTACATATTATTATTAGTCTTTACAACAACACCTTGTGGACAAGCTGCTACGACATTTCTATCCGGAACATATATGATACTATATTGAACTGCGTCATTTATGGAAATTGTTTCATTTGTCGACGTTTCATTTGTCGACATTTCATCTGTCAATATCTCTTTCATTGACGTTTCTTCTTGACAAGTCTCAGGTGGAATTATCGTCATCAATATCACAATTATCAATAAAATATTCACGTGAAACTTCATTTTTTAATAATGCCGCAAAACTCGCGATGCTTTAAATAAATAAAAATTAAAAACCACGAGTAAAAAATATTATTATTTAAAAAATATATTACTCTTTGCACTTTACACATTTGCGCATGACGTCAATAACCACCCGTTTATTTATGATGAATATTTATAATATTTTATGTATATTTTATATTTATTTTTATTTGAAAAAAATATTATATTTTTACAAACTACTTATTTATTTGCCGTTTATTTAATTTATTTTTTAAATTTATTTATAATATATATAAATGTAATTTATATAAATCTAATTGATCAAATTAATAGAACAAAAATTTTGAAACTACACACACACACATGTGCAAATAGTTAATATAAGCAGAGGGATAGGCATTTAAAGTCATGGTTGCTCGCACCGGACATTTACACGGCAGTAGAGTTATGTCATTCCGTGACAGCGGAGTATGTGCGAGAAGTTCACGATCATGTTTGCCTTTGAGAATCGGCGAAACTGAACGCGGCAAGAGTAGAGAGCACAAAAGGCGCATATCGTGCGACCACATAGTGGTCGTATTATGTAGCTGCTCTAATGATAGTCCGTTCGTTCGCGTTCTCTTGCACCCGCGCGTATACAAGGGGGTGGCAACAAGTGAGTGGGTGAACGCTGTGAAAGTTACACTAAAGTTACCAGCTCGCCCGCGGACGCGAAACTTGTCGATATTAGTAGGGAAGTTGCTCGCCAACAAACTGTCGTAACTATCGCGAATTTTCCGAAGATCCATCGACCGGTCGATCCGCTCGCGGAATCGCCCATCGTTCTTCTTCCCATTCTCGCGGTCGTTCGAAATCGTTGAACTTCGTCCAACTATAGAAATTTCTTGCGCGTGAATATGAAAATAGTTGAAATATTCGATAGAAGAAAATTCTAGCAGATTCGCATTCCTCCTTGAAAATGAGATTCTCAATAACGACGCTTTTTTAGCAAGAGCAAAACTTTGTCAATTTATTATTCGAGAGAGGCAGATGTTCGATCGATTTTTTGGAACATATATGCTATTCTTGTTAAATTGATTTCTGGATTATCGCGAAAGTATGAGAATTTGGAAATATATTCTTTAGCCAATGTTTTGAATCAGGTTTTCTATAAAATAAACTTGATTGATGAGACAATCGAAGATTAATATATAATATTAGCAATTTATATATTTATAGTATTTTGCCATATTTTATAGTATAATTATATACATAAATGTATTTTTTTTTCGAGAAATATCTTAATTAATTTTTTATTAATAAATGTTGGACGAAAAGAGATATAAAAAAGGATTAATTATAAGAAGATTGACAGCATGAAAATTGCGGAGTAACTCAAGTGTCACTCATCAAATGAAAAATTTGTTTCCAATCATTTTATTATTTAAAATAAACTTGTATGAATAAATATCTTACATTTTTTTAGTTTCACTTCAAATTTTAGTTATCAACGATTAAAATTAAAGATGCTTGCCAGGCGAATTTTTAGTTAGATTTTGACAAAAGCTTTTCTTTTAAGAATATAAGTATCGAATCACTTAATATTGCAATATCAAAAGCTGTCAAAAAGATATGATTTCCAATTAAATTTTAATAAAAGAAAATTGAAATGTATTTTTTGATTAGAAATATCGTATCCTCTATTCATGCGCGATTTGTCCAATCGCGTACAAAACGATTTAAATGTTATTCATATGTTAAATTACCTTGTTCATATGTTAAGTCACCATGCACTATATTAAAGGACTGAGCGACAATTATCTTTCCTTTGACCCTCCGGACAAAAGACATGACTAACGATGTTTCTATTCGAGACAATTATATTTTATGGTTGCAAATGAGGTACAGAATTTCATGTTTTGTATGACAATATTTCATCCGTCGATGTTTCTTTCATTCGGTGTTTTTTACTCTTGACAAACTTTAAATGGAATCATAATGACCATTAATATCACGATTATCAGCAAAATATTCACGAGAAATTTTATTTTCGATGCCGCTCCCGATTTTTTAAATAATAAAAAGATTGGAAAATCAAAGCTTGAATATCGTTTATCCCTATTTTTTGAATAGTCCTTTCTTCTAATTATTTAAATTTTTTTAAATCTTCTATTATGCACGAAAAAATTATTCCATTCAAAACTTACTGCTCCATATTTTTGTCAAATACTTTTATGAATCTTTTTGAATTACTTTAAATATATTTTATCATCTTTGTTTCTCTCTCTTAGATCACTGATTCAGTGATCACTGCAGGCCTATCATTTATATCCTTCCGATCACGTAAACAAAGTGAGAAAAACCGGTTATTAATAAATTCGAGAATTTCACGAACACATATTTGAAGAAACTATGGCTGTTATACAAATTTATTTATTTACATATTAATTATCAATCTTGATATGCTATAATAGATGTTTAAAAGATATGATCAAGTCTCTATGATAGATGAAACTTATATGTAGTAAATAAAATGTAATGAATAAACATTCGCTTTTGCGCGAAACGATTACATTTGAATATAAAAACGAAGAGAAAATCTATATAGATAAATGAAAAAT